GCAAGAAGAAACTAATATAGCTGGGTTGTTTTTCTGAGTTCTGGCCTCGTTAACAGTAACATCTTTCAAGAAAACACTGCCTGGTTTTAAGTTGTTTAATGTTTCCCTTTTCTGCTTTTGCCAAAGAAAGCGCTTGACCCCAATTCTGACTCCTCCTGCTCATCTTCACCCTCATTTTCCTCAAAACATCAATATGGCGCTACAACTAAAACGAAGTATCGACACTGCATTACTGCTGCTATATTGCTATGAGATGAGAAGAGCTGATATTTATTTATTTTTAAAAAGATTTTATTTTATTTTTAGACAAAAGGGGAGGGAGGCAGAAAGAGAGAGAGAGAATAAGATCAATGTGTGGTTGCCTCTCACATGCCCTCTACTGGGGACCTGGCCTGCAACCCAGGCATGTGCCTTGACTGGGAATTGAACCAGTGACCCTTTGATTTGCAGGCCAGTACGCAACCCACTGAGCCACACCAGCCAGGGCTGATATTTTAAATAATGGCCTTTACTGTTTTGTGTTGGTCTGACTTCAACGAAGTCAGGCTGCTTGCCAACAACAGAGGCGGACCTTGTGTTTACAGTCCAAAACATCTTCTCCATCAAAAGGCCCACGGGAGGGAGCCAGTGCGATGGACACCATGGGTAGAGTGAGGAAATGTAAACTCACGTGGGCTCCTCTCACTAAACTGCTTCTGTGGAGGGATAATGAGTCGTCTCAGCTACAGGGAACTCACTGTTTTCTTTATGCTGATGTTTTCGTTTTCACTTATTTTTTTAAGAAAAAAAGTTTTAAAGATTTTTGTTTATTTTTAGAGAGAGGGGAAGGGAGGGAGAAAAAAAGGGAGGGAAACATCGACGTGTGAGAAAAACATCCATCGGTTGCCTTTCGCACATGTCCGCAATTGGACCCCGCAAGCCAAGCATGGTCCCTGATCAGGAGTCGAACCAGTGATCTTTCGCTTTGTGGGGTGATGCCCAACCAACTGAGCCATGCCAGTCAGGGCTTGACTTCTTTTTAATGTCATTGTTCTCACAGCCTCAAAATGGGTATCGGTCTGCCAGCCAGTCCACTCTGACCTTTCTGTTCAACAGGTAATAAGACCAGTTCTCTTCAGCGAAGCCATTATGAAGCGTGGTTTTTAACAGTGCTACCAGAGAGCAGAAAGGATTTTCCCAGTTGCCTGGACTGTGGTTTGGGTCAGTTCCACCCCACAGGCGGCCCTTGTGAGTTTACAGAAAACCCCACCCCACAATCCTTATCAGCTGATGAGAGATTCCAGATGATTCAGGCCAAGTGGCCTGGCTTGGGTTCAGGCCCAGACCTGAGGACCCCATGCTGCTACCAGCCACGCAGAGTTAAGAGAAGCCCACTGGTCTCATTCACATTCAACTCCTTGGCTCTTTTGAAAGATCCCAGAATGCACGACAGTCTCTTCTCCTGCCCCGGTACTAAACTTTACTTGTTTTGTTTCTGAGGTATCAATCTTAAATGTTACTTCAGAGAAAACTGACACCCTACCTACTTAGGGCTTCGTGATTTAAAATATAATCATTACATTCCTCCGGTTTCTTCCATCCACTCCACTTCGCCCCCTTTCTACCAAATCAACAGGCATACATTTACACCTACTATTGACCAGGCACTTTGCTCAGCACTGGACCTCCCGTGGTGAGCAAACGTCAAGAAATTCTCTCCCTGATGGAGCTTCCATTTTGGTGAGAAATAAAAATATAATTCAACTAAACACACAAATAAATGCCCGTCTAGCAACAGTTATACTGAAAACATAATTTAAATAACAGCAGTGACAACAAAAATCTTCTAGACTGTGAAGGAAGACACATGGAAATAAATGGAAGAATGGAGTCGGCATGGCTTTATCCATGGTACTATTGGGACAAAAGAGTTCTATTTGGGTGGATATAATTAGAGCTTAAGAAAGCCACTACTAAATCCACTTCATTCTTTTTTTCTTGAGTAAAGATGGCCAGAGGGTTAAGCACTCAGATAGCAAGAAGTCCAGGTATCTATGACAAATTCTCAGTCTTTAAATTCCAGTTCCATCTCTTTCCAGCCCAGATAAGTGAGCTTAGTCAAGGAACTTAGCTTTTCTCTGTAAGCTGAAAATACATTCTTTCTCGTGCATTTGTAGAGACCTTAAAAACAGAATACACAAGAAAGTCCTTAGAACAGTGACTGATATATACATAAGCCTTCATTACACTGTCTTTGGATCTGGACATAAAACCTGGGTGGATGGATCACAAACAGGACTACAGAGTGAAACTCAGCCCTGAAAAACATTCATGTTTTTAGCAACAGCCTAATAGCAATGAGCATGCCGACTGCTCAGATTTTGGTTTCCAATACTATTCTCCAATAAGAGGAACCAGGGTTCTTTGGAGATACGGCCGATCCTAGGACTGCAGCAGGAAATAAATACACAAGATCAGCCTAGAGCTTTTGTGGTCCCAGAACATAAAGAAATACTGAAATCAAAAGTGTGTGGACGCGCGTGCATGCGCGATGGGGCCGTGTCGCAGGAGCAGAGAAACCACGCCCAGAGGCCAAAGCGAAAGTAACCTGAGCAGTAAAATTAACAAAATAGTATCAGATGATAACTCAAAGTATAAAATAAATGTTCATGAATGCGCACTGACATAAAAATGAATGAATGAATGGGTGGATGAATAAATAGTGGGGGGGGTTAGATACATCTCTCAAACAGAAGAAATCCAAGTAACATATGGAGATATTCCATCTCAAGGATGTGGAGTGTAACTCATCTTTCTTAAGTGTGATTTGTATATAATGACTTTCAGAACATACAGTATGGACAGAGGGATAAAGGGATAACCCGTGGGAGACACCCGATGCACAGTACCGCAATCAGGTGAGGGGGGCGGACAGCAGCAATGGCAAGTCATGTTCGTAGTACACCCCCTGAAGATGGTGTGATGGAAACGCCACTTGAACTCTGTGCTCTTCCTCCAGAAAGCCCATTAACTCCAGGCTAGTTATTTTAAAAAACCAAACAAACCAGAGAAATACTAGTTGAGAGGCATTCTACAACATAATTCGCCAGGACACCTCAAATCTGCCAAGGGAATATAAAAAAAAGAGAGAAGTCTGAGAAACTGTCACTGCCAAGGAGGCTAAGGAAACCCGACAATTATATGTAACGAGGTACCCTGGATGAAATCCTGGAACAACAAAAAAGAGACATTAAATAAGAATATAGGAAGTCTGAATCAGGTGTGGGCTTTAGCTCACAATACTGCATTAATATTGGTTCACTAATTGGAACAAATGTATCATACTAATGTAAAAATGTTAATAATAAGAAAAAGTGGGTGTAGTATAATATGATTCTCTATACCATCTTAGCAATTTTCTTTAAACCTAAACCATGACAAAATAAAAGTGTTTATTGTAAAAAAGATAAAGAAAACATTCTTGCAATGCTAGACCTTTTTGGCATCCGAGGAACAATATAAAAAAGATCCCCGCACACTTTCACATTAACTGCCTACAGGAAGTCGCGGTGGGAAGAGCCCAAGGGTTAGGTTTACTCAAAGCCTGAGGAGGAAGTTACTCTGCCCATCCCTCCAAGCCTGCGCTGCTCATTTCTTGGCTACAATGTCACACTTCGGGTGTGTCGTTTCTATTCTGACTACTGAATAACAACAGCAGACTAAAACGGTTTTCTCTGGTTTTAACTAGTGACAGTCCTATACTAAAGTCACAATCTTTTTTATTTGACACTTAGGATGGCCAACAAACAAACCCGTAACTTCCTCAGCAGCTTTGTTGCAATTCCTCCAGCCTGCCTCTTTGTTGCCTTTCAGTATTCGTGCGTTCTGTTTCTCTGTGTCTTCAACACGCCACCAATTGCTATTTCAAAATTACATAATGGTTTGATGTTTCTATTCTATAGGTCAGCACGGGTCCCTTCACTGAGACAACCTGCACCTGCCTTGCTTCTTACGGGACGAAGCTCACGTCCCATCACATGCAACTGAGCAGCGAAGTCACTGTATTGTGGTATTAAACGCTCGCCCGGCAGGTTATTTTAACTATTATACTGCCAGAACTTGAATAAGAACACCTCATTCTTTTCTTTTCTTTTAAGAAAAAACGACCAAAAAAGAAAAACAAAAGAAAAAGGGACTTCATCGCTTAAGTGCTTGTAAGATCTAGTGTAATTTCCTAAACGGGAAACGTTCCCGGGATTTTGAATCTCATGAGCCAAGAATCCTTGGAAATTCTGTTTGGAACCATCCTGTGAAAGTGGTTTGGGGACCCCTTCCTGCCGTCCACCCGCTACTCAATCATTCAGCTTCAGCATCTTTCTAACAATCGTCCGCTTGGGCGTCCCCTTGAGGGCACGGCGGCTGGCTAGGGTTCCCAGACCGGACTTGAACTTACTGCAGACCTGCTCGTGGAGGGGATGAAAGTAATTCTGACTCAGCGGACGAATCCTCCGCACCCCAGCCCCACGAGGGCACCGCGTACTCCCGCCAGGCCGGGGCCCTCGGAAGCCCAGGGATTAGGACACTGCCCCGCGCGCCCGCACTGTGTGTGGCCGGCGCCGGCCTCCAACTGATGCCATCTTGGGATCTCAGCATCTTTAAGGAGTTAGTGAGATTTGCCTTCTGGTCACGTCCCCTGTGTCTTGAAAACTTAACCCAACTTTTCCAGGAGATAAGAACCTGCCGGTGTGGATCCCCAATGTTCTCTAACCAGAACTGACCAGATCAGATGGTACCGACGATACACAGAAGCCTCGGCGCCCCCACCCCCGCGCGCCCGCCCCCCGCGCGCGCGCCGGCCCCGCCGATTCCCGATTCCCCGGCCGCAGGGTGCGGAGCCCGCTGCCCCGCGCGGACCCTCTGCCCGGAGCCGCCCGCGCGAGCGCCGCTTCTGGCGCTGGAGGGCCAGGGGACCCGCTCCCAGCGGGAGCCGCGGGGCGACCGCAGGTACCCGAGCGACTTACAGCCCAGGGCGACTACGAGGTAGCGCAGCAGCAGCAGCAGCAGGCGGGGGCCGCTCCTTCTCGCCATCTTCCCGGGCCGAGGGGGCCGCTCCGCGGAGGCTGAGGTCGCGGCGGCCGGAGCGCGGGAGGCCGAGAGGGGGCCCCCCAACTTCTGGGCTTGGGGGGAGGAGAGACTCGTGGAGCCCTGGAAGCGGAGGAGGTGGGAGGGGACTGACCCTGCGGCGCCGTCCGTTCCTCCCCGCTCTGGGCGCTTTCTCCGCCGGCCGCCGAAGGCAGGTCTTCCCTGGCCCCGGGATGGGGAAGGGGGGTCTGGGCCTTTTTTTTCGGGGGGAGGTTAGAGGGAGGGCGGTCAGAGGGGGCGAGCCAAGGAGCAGGACGAAGTGTCGGCTGGGTCCTACTGACGGGCAGGAGGCGGCGAGGAGAGGAAGGGAAGCCCTGCTGGGTCGCCCCCCACCCCCGCGCCGCCGGGATTGAGCGGCTTTGTGTCTGGTCCTGCGCGGGCTGCCAGCTGTCCTCCGGGCAGGGCGGGGAGCCAGGCGGGAGGCGCGGCCCGGGGGCGGGGTGGGGCGCGCCGGCTGGCTGCTACTCCTCTCCTCGCCCGCCTGGCCGCGGAACTTTTTGGGTTTACAGGCTAAAGGTACAGATTTGTGGAAATTCTCTGGCGTGGAGCGAAGCAATCGAGGAGGCGCTCCTGGGAGATGGGGTTCGTCGGCTTTGCCTTGGACACAAGGGTTTAAAAAAAATAAAAAGAAAGAAGAAAAAAAAATCAAGATTCGTGCTAGAAGGCAGGCATCAGATTTTAGCAATAGCCTTGGGCCCTTTTCCGTGTAAGCATTTTGCCTCTCGGAGAGTTAAGCTGGGTTCTGTGTCCTTTGCTTTTTACGCGTTGCAGTTGGAAGTTCATCTAACAGTGTGAAATATTTATCATGTTTCTTTTTAGTTACATAACTGCCGCCTGTTTTCCACATGTTAAAACTCTACAGCTGCCCTTTGTCAGGTTTATTTTTGGCCTACTGTATTTTTAAAAGAGAAACCCATTATGCACGCTCTGCTGCGTGCTTTAAAATTGACCCACACCGATATTGCCCACACCACAAAGACTAAACAAGCCATCTTTGTATTTGCTCCTAGGGACCAAAAATGTCTGGTGCATTTAAGATTATGCACAGGTCTGGCAAAAGGCCATTCCCAAGAAAAGAAATTGTTAGACACCTTTTTTTTTTCTTCAAAGTTAGAAAAACGGATAAAGTTCTGTATAGAAGACAGTTGATTTAACGGCGTGCACACACAGAATTTGGCTAACTCACTGGACAAAGGTGACCAGAGTTTAGATAGGCAGAGCTGTGAGGAATGAGGCATCTCTCCTGTGTCCTTGGTGACAGCGACTATAGCTTAGTACCCAGAAAGGAATGTCAAAAGGGCAAACCTGTCAGGGGTCATACTGCAGACAAGTAAGAAAGGGCACAGATTTAACAACAGACTTGCTCCAGTTTTTCTGGGCTATAACAGGAAAGATGCTATGCTTTAGAAGAAAGGTTGTTGGCATGTTCTTATTTTTGCCACAGCTGTGTGTCTTTTGTTCCTCCCTAGAGATGCACATACAAAAAGACATACTTTAAAATATTCTGTGACAGCCTATGTGAATAACTGATTAACGCAGTTATTTATTTGTCACCCAGGCAAGGCATTTGTTAAATAGCTACAATGTGCTGGACGCTGGTGGACAATGATGAACAATGCTGTGTTTTTTGCTGCTAACAAGCTCACAGTCTTGAGGAGAGAGAGTCCGGTCTGGAAAGACCTCTAATACCACCTGCTAAGTGTTATGGAGGACAGAACACAATAACAGCTGTTTTTTACTGAGTGCTTTGTCAATGGTGGAGTCAGAATAGTGCAGTATCTAATTCCCTAACAACTCAGGACGGGAGAAAATGTTATTCTTACTTTACAGATGAGGAGAACTTGCTGAGAGATGCTAAATGGTATAACTGTGCAGGAACCTTATTTTCTTTCGTCTTGACTTTTTCCCTGTGATTCAGACTGGCCTCATCCAGTGTCCCGACTCACCCACCTCCCTCTGCCTTGTTTAATCACTAAGCCCTCAGTACCATGAGGTTTTGGTCAGCCTCCAGTAGTCTTAGAAACAAAGTCCTGGATCTCCTGACTATTGAGACCGAGTTTTCAGTCAAATCAAACATAGTATCTTGGCCTCGGCTGTATTTTAGGTCCAGACCCAGGAAAGCAGGACCACCTCACAAAACAAATTCTTGTGAAGCTGGACAGAGACACTCCATGGCTGATGTCAGGACCAGATGCAATGATCAATTACCCCCTGCCCTAGTGCCAACCAGTCAGTAGACACCAGCACCCTAACTCTGTTAGTGACCGGGATAGATTATTTTTTTCCTATTTAATCCATCCCGGAAGCCACTGGGGAGCCAGGTCTTTGAGCAGTAGCTTACTTGTGACTCTGGGCATGGTGCCATCTCCTTTTTAATAAATCCTCACTTTCTTGGCTGCAAACTCATGTTCATGTCTTATTTGGCGTTGATGCATACAGGCAAATGGACCCTTTTCATCCGGTAACAATGGCTTGTTCAAGGTCAAGAATAAGAGGGTATACTTCTGTTGCAGCTCAGGAAACCATTGGGATTGACTGAAGAAATAAATGTAAACACCATCAGCATGTCCTAGAACCATGATCACCAAGGTGTCCTGCTCCTCATAATCCCCTAGAATCCTTAAATAAGATTCTCTGCTTAAAGTTTTGTTAAAGTTCTGAATCCCAGAAGTTTCTATTTCTGGAGCACCCATGGAGCTGTATTTGTAATGAGCACCTGGCTGATTCTGTTGCACCTAGTCCAGGGACTGGTGTTTGAGGACCATTCTAGAAGACAGGAGAAACTATGAGCAAATGAATGAGAGCAATTAGGAAAAAATGTGAATATTTTTCTAGAGATAAATCTAAGACAATAAATACGATAAGAGGTAGGGAAAAGATTCATGCCAAAAAAAAATAATAATCTAGACACAGTCTTTCCATTCTTCACAAAAATTAACTCACTGTGGATCACCAACCCAGAACTGTAAAATTCCTAGAAGATAATAGAGGAGAAAATCTAGATGACCTTGTGTCTGATGACAACTTTTTATTTTTTTTCATTTATTTTTAATTATAGCTGACATACAGAATTTTATTGGTTTCAGGTACACAGCATGGGGATTACGAAGTGATCATCACTTTAGTATACATGTAGCACCATACATAGTTATTACAATATTAGTGGCTATACACCCTCTGCTGTACTTTACGTCCCCATGACTGTTTTTATAATTGGAAGTTTGTGCTTCTTAATCCCCTTTACTTTTCCCCCTCATCCTCCCATTCTCCTTGACTTCATGCTCTCCAAAGGACAATTTGAAGGGAATTAGAAGACAAGGCATAGACTGCAAGTCTATGGAGAAAGTATTTGCAAAACTCTATCTGATAAAAGACTGTTATCCAAAATATACAAATAACTTTTAAAACTCAACAATAAGAAACAAATAACCTGATTAAGACATGAGCCAAAGACCTTAACAGACACCTCACCAAAGAAGATGGCAAATAAATATACAAAAAGATATGTTAGGTAATATGTCATCAGAGAAATGTAAATTAAAACAACATTAAGATACACACCTACTAGAATGGCCAAAATACAGAACATTGACAACACCAAATGCCTACGAGAATGTAGAGCAAAAAGGAACTCTCATGCATTGCTGGTGGAAATGCAAAATGGTACAACCACTCTGAAAGACAGTTTGGTAGTTTCTTAGAAAACTAAACGTACTTTTACTACACAATCCAGCAATCAGAGTCTTGGGTATTTACCTAAAGGAATTGAAAATTTATTTACCTACAAAAACCCACACACAAATGTTTATAATAGCTTTATTCTTAGTTGCCAAAACTTGGAACCAACCAAGATATCCTTCAGTAGATGAGTGGATAAACTGTGGTACCTCTGGACAATGGAATAATATTCAGAGCTACCGAGCTCATTTCATTCAGAAATGAGCTATCGAGCCCAGAAAAGACATGAAGGAAACTTAAGTGCATGTGACTAAGTGAAAGAAACCAATCTGAAAAGGATACGTACGATATGATTCCAACTCTATGACGGTCTGGAAAACTCAAAGGCAGTACAAAGATCCGTGGCTGTCGGGGAACAGGGGAGAGCGAAGGACGAATATGCAAAGCAAAGAGGAGTTTAAGGACAGTGAATCGATTCCGTGGGGCACTACAGAGGTGGATACATGCCATTGTATGTTTGTCCACACCCTTAGAATGCACAAAACCAAGAGTGAACTCTAAGATAAACTATGGACTCTTGGCAATGCTACGCCAGTGTAGGTTCATCAGTTGTAACAAATGTACCACTCTGGTGAGTGATGTTGACAATAGGGGAGACTGCGTGCAGGGGGCAGGAGGAATGTGGGAAACCTTTACCTTCTGCTTAATTTTGCTGTGAACCTGAAACTGCCCTAAAGATTAAAGTCTAATGACAAAATTGAAAGAAACAAATGAAACGGAAAAATACAATCAAAATAAATTAAAAAACAAATGAACAAACAGAAGAAGATCTACAGGAAGAATACAAGAAAGAGCACTCAAAAAAGTATAAGAACTAGGAGCAAATCAGGAATCAAATGTGCAGGTGTTTATTTATGTGCAGGTTTATGGTGTTTAATGCTTTCTTAAAAAAAAGGATTGAGCATTGACTCCTGCATTTACGTACTAGAGTGCATTGACCACTTAGACAATAGAGAAAGCAAGCTGTAAATCAACTTGCAGAAAATATTTACAGACTTGTGTTTTGTACTTAATAAAGTATAAAACTAGTACATAAGATAAAAACAATGCAATGATTACAACCATCAGCAGCAGGATAGTGAAAGGAACAGAAAGAGTTAATACTGCTTCATGAATGAAGATTGGAAGTTGCTTTTACTATTGCTTTGCTTGTGAGAATTCCTAACCCAGGGGCACGGGACAAGTTGTAGGCAGTCCCTCTAAACTGTCCCAGCCTCCATGACCATACTGTCCCTCCCCCAGCTGCCACAAGTCATAATCACTTTCACTCTGACACTAAAAGCAGTTTTGTCAAGTAAACATAATTGGGGACTTGGTGTTTCAGGACATCTTACTGTTTTTCAGTCTTCCCTCCCACTCGAATTCTAAATTTGAGCTAATGTTGAGGGGAGTGGAGGCACTCGCCTTGAACAAGCGATGCAGAGAGGGGCCAAGTTTAAACGGACTG